ATCGTATCAAGAAATTTTTCTTGAGGGAAACTTTCACAAAACTTCCAAAAACAAATTCACATCGGTTCATTAGCTTTACTCAAGTGCTAGTAAGATCGAAAAAAGATAGTCACTGTTGTGCTCCGATATCGGTCTGCTTTATGTTTGGTTAGTTTGCGGTGAAAATCTTTAAGTAAATCGATTCGTTGTTTTTTCACTCAATTAGGATCTATGCAACTAATTGAGAGCAATGGGGCTCGTTACTGGCCTGAAAAAAAATGTCGTCGTTTTTTGGCTCATAGAGTAAGGAAAACGACATAGATTCATCGACATGCTATATGCAGCCCATTTGAAGCAAACTGCTAAATTGCTGAATGATTCCAAGCAAGGAATGTCATCATCAGTCAGTTGCAACAAACTGGAATGAACGATTGCTTATGTGGTATTTATCATATGTAAATGAGTGGTTCGAATTTTGTTTAATCAAATGCCGGTTGAGAGCGAATAGATATCCATTCAGACACATTTAGTGCCTCAGAGTTATAGTTTCATTAAGGATCACTCGAATACACGATGACTTTCTATGATTATGAATAATGAAAGCCGTTGAATTCGTCCTGAATTTCATCTCAATAACTCAAACCGTGTAAGAATAGTGCATGTGGACAAATAAACTATTTTTGTAGTGAATGAATTCGTTTAAGAAGAGAATAATTTGAGCAAGTAAAAATCAGAACAGCAAACGATCAATCATCACTCAAAATGTTTTATTCAACAAAACAAAATCGTCGGGAAGTAGTCATAAATTCATGCAAAATGATAACTTCGGTAATAAGGTTAGAAATAAAAGGCACACGCATCAACATGGAAATAAAACAACACGACAAGAGGACAATACCAAAATGAATGGGAGTGATTGATTCTGTTCAAAGGATGTTAAGATTATAGCCTCCAGCCTAAGTGAACCTCAGCCCAGCTTATTCCATTTCTAAGACTGTGGCAAAGCATTCACTTAACTGGCCTGCCACCTTTTTTCATTTTTGTCTCTTGTATTCAGAAGACACTTTATTTTCACTTCGGATAGATTCGGTATAGGCTTTAATAAAACTTCATATTCATTTAAATAAGCATTCATCACAATATTTGAAGATTACCACAAATAATGATAGCCATAAGAACAGCAATGATGAATATGATGAACATGCAAACCAATGACATACAATAGGTAACACATGCACAATGAATAATCTGTTCACTGTCGCAGCCTTATTCTAGGCCTGGACGTAAGCCTGAGAGTAGGTTTAAGAGCCTTATTCTATCAAATGACGTTAAAGCCGCATGCCCGCAAGCATTTCACAGACTGCGCAAATTTTCTCATACAACGTCCTAGTGCCAATCGCATTTCTGAGGTTCACGAATATGAAAAAAACATACGTTTGTGGCAGTATGCTCCAGCTGAAACACTACGTTACTGCAAAATATGAATGAGTATTCGTCTCTCCCTTTACGAAGAAATGCATCAATGGTAAGCTCATAAAAACTTCGTCAAAAAATAGTAACGACTCAAGCAAATGTAACACGATAAGAGCTCAGAACATATCTAATTTTATACTAATTGATGGTGATTTAACGATGCGAAAAATGTAATCGATGTACTGTCTTATGTCAGTACTTTAGGACGCCCTTAAAACTTCTTGCAAATCTTCACAAAGTCCGATATAAATGAATGNTCAGTTGATCATATTTTATCAATGAATACACTGCTTAATTATATGCTTATTGATACATATATTCATTTAATAGCCAAACGTTTATTGGACACTTGTACAGATGGCGAAGTTGTTTTGATCACGCAATGTGACGGCAGTTTATTTATGATCATTGTTGCGTTTTGAAATAATCGAATAAATTTTGAGTGATCGAATGCGATATCACTGTGAGATATCACCGATATCACTGTGAGATATCACCGGACGGTATCATATCTAATCATTAACAAAACGCACGATTCAACGCAATACACAAACAACAAAACGATAGCTTAACTTGATTTATAAAAATTGAGATATAATATAATATTATTCATTAAGTATTAACGAATAGAAAACCAAACAATTTAAGCATGCCTAACAAAAAATGTAACAATTAATTTATTTCATTTGATAAAATGTTCAAAAAGATTTTGTAGAGGTGAGTAATATCTAAAAGTCGTACGCTGAAATATAGCTCAAAATTTATGCATTATAAATGAACCGTTCTCATTATCACGAGAATATTTTGGATCTATTGAATTAAGCTTTTTGAACATTTCACCAGAAAAATATCGAAGACGATCGTATCACATGCACAGATCGGTAAAAGAGACAACTACCACACAACAACACAAACGTATATCGATATAACAATAATGTACGAATAAGATCAAACTCAACTGACCTCCTCTTTCTCAACGGATGCTGCCTGTGCAGGAAATGATTGTTCAGAGCTGTTGAAAAGTGTCTGAAGGAAATCTCTCAATTCAGGCACATTCTGTGCATTAGCTAATTTGGTGATAATATCAGCGAAACGATTCAGCACTTGCGAATCAGCAGTCAACAGCGATTGATGCATTAAGTGAATACATTTCTGACAATCATCTGACTTCACTGTCTGTGTTGTTGTTGGTGGTGTTGAGAGTGCCGGTTGTGAGGACTGAACATCACTGTCAGATTGATGTGCGCTCTGAAATTAAATTCAGTTGTTCAACTCTATTCTGATCACGAGATCAGTTAAAGATGCTTTCAAATCGAACGAGTTAAAGAGATAAACAGATTATAAGTATCCGATTCATGCCCATCCCTTAGGGGCGCGATGAAATGTTATTTCTAAATGAAACAAAAAGTGTGTGAAAGGAATGAACTTCGTCAAAGATTGAGAGGATGAATTAAGAATTAAAAGCAGCAAACAACTGGCAAAAGTTAGAAACGTCAGTGAAATATGCTTGAATAAGAATGTAACTCAAGATGATGTTTTTTGGAAGTTGATTGAATATAGAGCACGAAGATCGCCGTGACAGCTGTTCTTATTGCTGAAGGGTCAGGTGATGATGGAAATGATGATCAAATGACTGAAGTGGCAATAAAATAGCTCAAAATTGAGGCTTGCACAAGCAAGAGCATTGATAGCGAATGCAAGAACAACCTTATAATTAGTATCATCTCATCGATGATGCGGAGGAATATTTCTGATCGATAATGCGAAAAATGTGGAGATTTTGTGCGATTCAACTGAGAAACATAAAACAGGTGAGATAAAGTGATACCACAATAGTACAGCTGAACATCGTTTAGTGAAATTTACTGCAATAAACATTTCTGCAGGTTGGAATTTCTAATTGCTCACGTGAGGAAGAGACCAAAAATTGATTCTTTCCTAACTAATGAGAACAGGTGGCTAACATTTAATAAATTGCTTTCTTCACGTTTATTTCGCCGAAGCACAGTCAACGAGGGCAGTTTCTTGTGATCATAAAAAATTTGCATCTTATTGCCAGTGAAAAATGGGAAGAATATAAAGCTCAACTGCATTTCTTGGAACCACAAATGCGCATGCTAATTGCACAACAACTGGAGAATTGATTTAAAGTTGTTTGAAAGGTGATTGATCACTGACTGTATGCAAGTGAATGCATATAGAAATAATATCAGGAGAGTGAATCGACTGCAAGGTGACGATGATGATATGCGTACAAATGATGGGCAAGAGACGGAAACGCCGTTCGTCCGTGCAATAAGCGTACAATATAAGCAATGGTTGAGCAGTTGGTCATTACATTGAAGCAGCACCAAACAATTGTTTTATAAACGTAGAGCGATGAAGAAGTACATTACGTGCTATCATAGACGGAGGAAGGAAGAAGGATGGATGCATATTCGTTGTAAACTTTACAACGTCTGTTTCATTTTAATATATTACATATCAGTGTATATGGGTTGTATCTGAATGATTTTATACGATCCAATATGTCTTCATTTTCGTTAGTCGCTTTTAAACTATTTCTGAAATTCTTTTCTTTTCTTTTTTTTGAACAGAATACGATAGATATAGAGCATTTACAACAGATACGGTAATTTTTCAACGCTCTCAAAGATCGATTTGCACCGCTCAAGCGATCCTTTCAGCTACATGTCCGGAAATTAGAGCAGAATCTTCATCAAGACGTTTTTGAAACGGACTGTGCAAAAGGAGAAAAGTTTCACTTAATTCCGGTTGAGAGTCACTGCAAAAAAAGCGTTAAAAGCTAACTTATAATGAAAGCAGAAATAAAGCAGAGATAAGGATCAGACAAATTGATTCTACAAATGATGCACTATCAATAATGTTAGCATTGCATGGAATCAATTCCAAATGAAGAACGTTTATGGTGGTTGCTATACGAGCACGCTGGATGAGCAGCGTAGTGTCTAGAGCACACTAATACTTCTATGAGCCACTATTACTACTAGTTGTGATGATGCTTCTTCGTAGCTTACACAAACGCACAAATACACCACACCACACCACATTCACTGCTCAACTGAATATTGCTGTTGTGTGCATGCGAGTATAGCCATTGAATGTGCTTCTGGATATATGGTCAATCGATGAACACTGCCGTTGCTGCGACAGCGCCAGCTTACATCACATCGCCTCTATTATCCAGCAGCACCCACTTGCTTGTATGCATATACGACTAGTAAACATGTTAGCTAGACTCGATATCAGCTAATGCAACAACCGTATACACATCATCAGCAATAGAACATATCGTTTCACGCTGGCGTTGTTGACTTATGCTAATATTAATTGACACATGCAACACTTTCGACACTTGCAGTACGGATGCAAACATCGTTTGTTGATTTTAATTCAGAATCTCCTTTGAATGACTTCTCTCATTCATGTGAAGATATATATCTTCAGAAACAATTTGCTCGAAAAGGCACTGACGATGAGATTCTTGCGTATTTTACGAATAACTGATTGAAAAATTCTTCATACCGAAAATGAATTGCGATTCTGTAAGTTGTTTCATCTGCGGTTTTGAGGTTCTCAGCATATAGGATTTGACTTCTTTGAACATATTCTTGTTAAGTAGGAAAGAGCATAGAAATGGTTCGATGAGCTAGATCAACAGTCTGGAATATCCGCTCATGGCCAAAGAGCTGCTGAAGATGACAAACCTCTATGAAATCAAAAATGGACAGATATTCAAAACTTATGCTCCGCTTTCGTTGAGAGAAAATAAGAACTGAAAATTTTTCAGATCGAGGAAATGAGAAATGCATTCACCAACTACACGGGTAATGAACTGCGCTTTTGAAAAAAAATTGAATCAGCCATTAAATTGGAAAATTGCTTTGCAGCATTCGTGCATATTTTGGTTTTGATGAGAAAGAAAAATTTTGAAAAGACTGCACATTTCATGAAAATTTCGGTATTCATTTGATGGACAAACCACATTTATGGATGGCAATATAATCATATCTTAAAAACGTTTATACGAATTTTTTGAGAGTCATAAAATAAAGAATATTTCTTTTTTATTTCAGAAAGTAATGGACAAAATAATGATCGATTACGAGGTGCATTATGTTCTTCATCGCGCAATAATTCGAAAGCGGTTTTTGGAGAATTTTGGAAGTGTTCACTGAAAGGAAAAAGACCATTCCAATGCTGTTCGTTCACAGCAGCTAGACGATGTCCCCCAATCACCTTTTATTGAAAATGAATAATTTTCTGGTGATTGAAATTCCCGACTCACTCGAGCATATTACATATTGTACAATAATGAAGGTTTCTTGAAGGTGATAACGAAACAGCATTGCTAACTGCAAAATAAAAAAGTCGACGAGTTGGTTGAGTGAGCAGCAACTGAATATTTTGAAAGTTATTTTCTTGGGTACTGCTAATATCTGGAAAGGAGACTGCATCATTTTTGTCCTCTTCTATAAGAGAAGCACTACAAATTTTTCATTTATTCCGACGTTTGTTACCATTGTCACAAAAAAACGCTGAAAGGGCAATAAATTAGGGGAATGAAATGACAACGAGAAATGTTGCATGCAAAAAGATGAAAAAAAAAGATAAATTGAAT